GGCAGGCTTCGACAGCCGGTTCCAGCGTTCTCGCCTGCGCCTTCTCAGCGGAGGGCAGCGGTCGGGATCGCGCTGGAGTTAATCAACTTCGCGGCTTAACGGTTTCGAAGTCAGAGGCCGTGTAGAAAGATCTAAATTTAATAAAATTGCTTGTTAACTTTAGGAGTGAAGAAAAATGCGTAATACGTACATCGAGAAGGTTGAATATGCTTTTTGAGAAAGAGTGCGCTCCGTGGGGTCGGCCACTTCCTATGCTGGGTAGGAGCCTGAAGAAGGAATCCCTTTCTTAAGTTATGCATAGGCGTTTTGGTTCGTGATCCTGTAGACTTTTAACGACGGAAACCCACAAAGCTGTTTTCAAAACACTGAGCTTTTTGATCAAAAGCAGTTCTGAAGTAGCAACAAAGGAGCGCGAACCTGCGTGAAGCCACACGTGACCCCTGCGAGGCGGACAAGGAGCGAGGATAAAGCTCATGGCTGTAACTCCTAGGGAGGGACGCTGCAGTTGTTTCACAGCACAAAGCCAGGATGTGCAACAGTTTACAAAAGCAAGAGATAGTGTTCTGTGCAGCTCAACCTAGAGGGGAAGGGTAGAGACACTAAGAAATTACCTAATTTGGAGCTGAAATGGGACCTTAGGGTTATCGTATTCACACTCATAAAAAAGTTCGATATGTAATAACGAATCTCAGTACTTAAGTCTCACTGCTCTTTTAAGCCAACACCTCTAGCAGGACAGTATCACCTAACACTTTTCCCCAGGCATTAACAAATGCTGGATGTTACTTATTGTTTCCCCGGTACTACTAGCGCCCACTTTACAGCCTTGTCCTTTTACAGCCAGTTCTTTCATCTAGACCAAGATAACCAAAGCTTGGTTATTTTATAAAGCGTGTCATGAGAAGTGGCGCATCTTCAGTACCCATGTAACAGGAAGGACACTGTTCATCTGGGTGTGAACACAGCTGTGTACCTGCATGGACAGCAAAAGGAGTCACTCATCTAACATCCTTAGCTTCCCTTTAATATAGATCTTACAGGACAAATGAGGAAACAGAGCAAACAGATTGCTCATGTGAAGTCTAATGCAAAGTAAACCGAACTTTCATCTGGACCACCAAGACCATAATTCCCTCTGTTGCAGCAGCGTAGCCTGGCTCCTCACAGGAGATGAAGGGGCTCACAGAGCAGCAGCTCTGGCTGGACACCAAGGCCTAGTTCTCCAAGAAGGACCCAGTAAGCAGCCACATATTTATGCCAGGGGAAAAACTGCAGCCCCTCCAGGGGACTGCAAGCACACAAGGGGCAATGCTGCCACACTCAGACTGTGCGCTTACCACCAAAAAGCTGCGAAGGTTCACAATACCTTCGACAGTCAACTCCTCCTTCAGGAAATATAAAGGTCACACTCTGCCTGCAGCCCCTTAAATAGGTGTCACCCCACCCCATGCCAGAACAGGGAAGTAGCCATGACCCCAACCAGGTTTTCCCTGCCCTCATTTAGGAGGCTTTCTTTGGTGTACTCAAACCTATCAGATGTAAGGCTCGCCAAAAGCACCTCGGATAGCACTACCAGAAAGGGAATCGCCCCTTGTCACTGTGCCCTTGGCACAGACAAAGCTGGCTGAGTGCGTGCACTAACAGCAAGGCTTTTCTGTGTGGAGCTTGACTGAGGTTTTACGTCCCTCATGGGGTATCATTCTTCTATTAGTATCATCTTTCTGCTGATTTCATACAGCCTGAAATATAATCAAGTATATTCATACTCGTGGCATTAGAATTCAGTGAAATTTGTTTAAACCCAAAATGAAACGTGCAAAGGCACTTCCACTGGCTTCAATCAACAATTTTTTTTTTTGTATAATCATCACAGAATATTTGCCTCAAACTGATTCCTCATTGATGCCTACAGATTTTAGACCTCTGCTTTTGGTATAAAACCCAGCCTAAATAAAATGCTGCACAAAGAGCAACCAATCTTCACAATCTCCCTGCCCGAGCAGATACATATTTTAAAGTCTTTTGTACATACGGCAACACCGAGAGGCTGAATGACACCTCTCAGGATAACCAGTGAACAAGCACAAGAGCTGGGTGTTCCTCCAGGCCAACTTCCCCGCAGTGGATGAGGCAGCATCCAGAGGAGACCCTACGCTTCAGAGGAGAGCCCAGTCTTGCTGAATTGCACGGCGTTGCCTCAGAATAAGCATTTGTGAATAATTTCTCCACGGAACATTCTGTGTAACTTTTTTCAAAATGGAAATAACTCATTATTTACGAAATAATTTTTTAAAAGGGGCCACTGTTACCTCATAGTACACATGCAGTGATTATTGCTCATTTCCAAACTGCACAGGAATGCAAGTGCTTAGGAAGAACAAAATGAGCATCTGAACAAAGAACACGATGTTTTGTGTTACATTTGAACCAGCTTTACCCGCTGAAGCCCTCTCATGAATCACATCGGCAACAAATGGATAATTTGTGTCGAAGCTTGCCACCTCATGAACGAGCTAATTTTGCACCACTAAAATGATAGTTGTAGTCAGTATGGAAGCCACATGTGAGTTGCATTACTACTATTGTTACTATTCCTAAACCAACATAGGATTCTTTCTGCATTGTTTGCCTAAGAATATACAAAATGCACTTCCTGTTCAGCCAAGGGTTGTAACAAGGGATTTTCCAGCATTTGGGGAAGCGTGTGATTTTTTTACTGGAACAGGAGACTTAATTTGAACCAAGGCAATAGTCATCACACAAAATCCTGCCTTCTCATTCGGAAAGTTAGATTCAGTTTCAACTTCTGCTGATCAGGGAAACGCTGATCAGGGAAACTCGCTCGAGCTGGAGCTGCCTCATGAGGTCTCTAAACCCCAGTCATCGTGGTGTGATGCAGTTGCGCAGCTCCGGTCGCGATACGGTCCCGTTCTAGACCACCTATCTTCCCGTTTCTTCCTCCCTGGGTTCACACCCCAAGCATCTCGCTCTGTGCGTTTCTGCTCCGGAGCGCGGTCCGCGGGGCGGAAGGGAGGCGGGGG